ACCATCAGGCTTCCGAGCAGATCTTCATGTGCTAGGAATTCACTCTTGGACAAACCACCATTTGTGTTTGGAAGAACCCTATGCAGGCCCCCACATGAGCTGCTGAAAATGACCTCTTATCCTCCAGGCTTGTTCGGCATACTTGCTCAGTGCTCTTTCCAACATCTGCCAGCCCCTGTGAATGCTCCAAGAGCGTACCTGGCCTGTGTGTCATAGACCATGTAAAGATGTCCACCATAAGCCCCTGGCCTCGTAGCAAAGCTGTGATTCATGTCAGGACCAGGAGTTGTCTTTGCTTCATATCAGGTAGACAAGATAGTAAGGTTGGAATTTCATAAAGGGACTAGAAATGCTGGGTGAGGAGTCCTAGAATAATCCAGAAGAGGTAGATTCCATCCCCTGGGCTGTTACTCTTCTGGAAGTATTGAGTAATCTTAGACTCAAACCCTACCCCAAAGTAGACTGTGTTTGTTAACTTCCTCAAGGATCCTGGCTTTGCCTCACTGCCTGTAAGGCAGCCTATAAATTTAAGGTAATTAATTATGAGAAACAGCAATAGTCAGGAGCTCTGAAAGTGTCTAGTAACCTGACATCTCAAGGATTTGTTATCACAGTTCCTCAGCGCAGTGCTAATGTAACTACGTAAAGAGAAATGGAATTTTATAAAACTTAGTCTTATGTAAAACTAGTCTTATATAAAACTGTTCTTGCCTTTATTAGGGCCAGAGGCTTTATTAGTTCAAAAAACATTAATTTCTTAGCAGAAGTTTCATCAAGCTATTGAAGTTAGCATATCGGTGATGGGGGAGGAGAAAATAAATGTCATAAACAGGATCTTGTGTTTCCTGACTAAGCCAAACCGTAAGTTTTTTGCCCATTTGTTTCAGGCATTTGATTTACTGTCTTGGGGACATCATCCTGGAATTCTTGGATCTCAGTGCCTCTGTTGAGAAGTCTGCTGCTACCTCCTCTGCCTCAGATACCCCAGGCAACTCCAAGAGGATGGGTGTCTCCTCTTAGCTGGTTGTTCACGCATTCTTCCCAGTTCAGGGAAGTAGAGTTACTCAGCCACCAAAGACCAGTCAGGAAGCCTGTGCCCTCTACAGCTAAGAAGGCCTAAGTTCTCGGTGGCTCACTTCCCTCCCACTTCTCCATTTGTAGCAGGTGACAGGGGTATATGTGTCCCAGTTGCATGCACATTTATTTCCATGTTTCTTTTAGAACATTGGGATTGTTGCTGGTGAGTAGATCCTGTTTCCTTTGGGAAAAGAAGCTGTGAGGTAGAGGAATGAGCCCCTTTTGCTTCTCTTTTTGCCATCCTCCCTGAGATTGTTTGCCAGAATCCTGGCCCTGTGCACACATGTGCTGAATCCACCAGCACACAAGCTCTGGATAGAACAGGAAAAAAACTGTGGCCAGATTTCCTTGGAGGAGAAAACAACCTTCTGAGCTCTCTGTTCCTAACCGGAAACTAAAAATTCGTTCAGGGCCATTCTCACAAACCAGACTCCTGGGTCTAATCTAGTTTCCCAACAGTTCCAGAAGAAGGAGGAGGGAAGAAAATTTTTCAAGGAACTTCTTGGTCATGTGTTGCTGTTTCCCAACACATCAGCCTTATGGAAGATGTCATGAGGCTGCTTCCCTGGGAGGCTACACTTCTCCTTTCCAGAAGACTTCAAAGCTGACTGCCAAAGCTTCTGGTAAATCCTCCCCACCCTTCACACCCTTTCCTGAAAGGCATTTGTACCACACATTTTATTTATCGGCTTTTCTCCCAACCCCCTGCCCTAGAGCAATGGAGTTTTTGAATTTGTGACCCTCTCTATATCTTCAGCAAAATTGCCTGACAAGCTGCATATTCAGCCTCAGTTTTTCCAAGGAGAAGGTAAAGCACTTGCCTCCTGTCTTAAGAACGCACAAAGAGTAGGACTAGCAAGCCTGGGGGATGAAACCTCCCTTTGTAAGTCTTTGACAGACAACTTTTATTATTCTGAACAGATAAGATTAGCAAACTTACAAGGAATAGCTTCTTATTTCCCGTTCCTTATGGTTATAATTAGTCTTTTAACAACACCAGCATGAAGGCAAAGGTGTTTTGTCAGACTGCAACATCTATTAGCAAGGCAAAGCAATTGGGAATTGCTGGAGAAGGATAAACGGTGATGGAAAAGGATGCAGACAGTCACAGGGACGTGCTGTATATTAAACACATGTGAATAGCTGGCAAAAAGTCGTCAAGGGTGTCACTGGGAGCCCTTTGGCTTCACACTTGCCTGTTAGCGCCTTGCTTTCACTGAATTACCAGAGCCTGCCACTTGAAGGAAGGTCTTGGAGTTAGACTGATGAGAAGGCAATGGGGTGTCAAAAACAAGTATCAAAGTTCTCTTAGATTCGGAAGTAGGTGATGAGCACACAGAGTGGTTTGTGAGAGAAAGTTGTAAAATCTTTTTACTTTTTTGCCCCTCTGGAGGCTTTTAACCCTAAATTGTGTCTGATTTATTTGGGAGGCTTAAGTGTGCAATTCTTGCCCAAAGGCAAGGAGATGAATGAGATGTCTCATGGCTCCTTCTAGCCTTAAAAGTTGACCATTACAGTGACTTTATGGCTCCAAAGTTCTTGAAGCATCTCCAGCCCTAGACTTTGACAGGACAAAGTTGCTCAGCATCTCTACCTTCCGTGAATACCTACAGGAGTCCAGCCAATGTATTAGAGCTGATCATTCAGCTCCTTCAGTGAGGGCTAAAGTCCTATTCTCGATGGGCATAGGGGGGCAGCCCTGTTTTATGCCACTTTTCTCTCCCCATACCTTCCTTTCATGTGTACTTAGCCACCTGTGTTGCTTTGAATCTGCTGCCAGTTCTGGCTCAAATGTGGCACAAAATCAGTACATCAGACACACCATGAAATCCCTGTGGCTGTAAATTCTAAGGAATCTTTTGACACTTCCAGCCCAAAGAACTTATTTTTGTTTCATATTATATAAGAGTCCCCACCTCTACTCTATGTACCCCAAAAAGATAAGCTGTCCTCAGATCCTCCTTCTACCCAGGAGGGAAATAATGGATATTGCCAAGGGAACAATCAAAACTTTGAAAATGACCTGCCAATTTTGGGTAGCAGGTTCAGACAACAAGAGAGTAACAACTGGTAGAGAACCACAGCTTCTGGAAAAGATGCTCCCAGCTGACAGGGTGAGAAAAGGCGGGGAAGAACTGGGCCTGTGCTAATCCAGGAAGGTTTTTTTGTTTGCTTGTTTTTTGTATTTACTCGTGACTAAATTTTATTCATTTAAGTCAGAATTTTGATATTTAAAATAAGACTACTTTCCCTTTTCTTAATATCTATAAAAAAGACGAAGCAGGGATGCTGTGTTCTTTCTGTCCAATTCTAAATGTGATCTTTGCCATTGATTATTTGAATTCAAGAAAGCTGTACTTTTTCATCACATATAACTCACAGTTTCATTTTCACATTTTTGGATTAGACTTAATAAAACCTAAATGGAAAATAAATTCCTAAACCTGAGCCTAGGAGCATGTATAAGTTTTAAAAACAATACAAGCTACTCCAGTTTCCATTTTGGAAATTTCCAGTTTACAAGGTGATTTTCTTATTGTAAAGAAACACATAATGTGAGATCTACCCTCTTAAGTGTACAGAACATTATTTGTTTATTTTGAGATAGTATATTATTAACTAGAAGCAGCACACTATTTTGTAGCAGACTGCTACAGGTTTTTCATCTTGCATAACTAAAAGTTTATACCCATTGAACAGCATCTCCTCATTTCCCCTCCCACCAACTTCTGGCAGTCAGTATTCTACTTTCTGCTTCTCTGAGTTTGACGACGCCTCATATAAGTGGAGTCATGCAGTGTTTGTCCTTCTTTGACTGACTTATTTCACTTAGCATAATGTCCTCCAGGTTCATCTGTGTTATAGCATGTGACAGAATTTTGTTTTTAAGGCTGAAAACATTCCATTGTATGGCTATGCCACATTTTCTTTGTTCATTCATTGAGGGACATTTGGGTTGGCTCCACGCCTTGGTTATTAAGAATAATGCTGCAGTGAACATGGGAGTATGAATATTTCTTTGAGGCCCTGCTTTTAATTATTTTAGATAAATACCCAGAAGTAGGATTGCTGGATCATATATCATTCTGTTTTTAATTTTTTGAAGACCTTCATACTGTTTTCCATACTGACTAGACCATTTTACATTCCCACCAACAATGTACAAGGGTTCCAGTTTCTCCACACCCTGTCCAACACTTGTAATGTTTTGTTTTTTCATAATGGCATCTTAAAAGGTATTAGGTGATATTAGTATCTCGTGGTTTTGATTTACATAGCCTGGAACATTTTTGAGTCTTCCTGTGTCCTGCCCGGGTTATTCATTTCCAGCTACTGCTCTTCCTTTGCTCTTAGCACCCAACACCAATTGTTAGGTCCTGGATGAAGTAAAAATGTGTGTAACTATGGTCCCTGGCTATATGAATCAGGATGCTCTGGACAGGAATGAAATTATGAGGAAAATTTATTTTCTTTCATAGCATTAGTATGTGAGTAGGTAAGCCCAGGAGTCTGGTGATTCAGCAACTCTGAGACCTCTTAAGGGGCCTGAATTCTTTCCATCTTTCTTCCTTGCCGTTAATTCGGTCAGCTATGTTCTCAGACTGCCTGCCTTCCTGGTGCTGTAGTTTCAGGCATCACTCCCAGAGATAACATTCATAAAAGAACAGGAGCATCTCTTCTGTGTTTTCTTCTAAGGAATGAAGGAACCATTTCCCAGAAGTCCTTCAAGAATCCTCTTCTAGGCCGAGCACAGTGGCTCACACCTACAATCTCAACACTTTGGGAGGCCAAGGTAGGGGGATTGTTTGAGGGCAGGAGTTGAAGACCAGCCTGGAACACAGCAAGACCCTGTCTCTACAAAAAATATAAAAAATGAGTGGGGCATGGTGGCTCTCGCCTGTGGTTCCATCTGCTAGGGAGGCTGAGGCAGTAGGATCACTTGAGCCCAGGAATTTGAGGCTGCAGTGAGCTATGATCACACCACTGCATTCTCGCCTAAGTGACAGAGTGAGACCCCAAATCAAAGAAAAAAAAAAAGACTCTTAAATGACTCATTGGCTAGAACTACCCACCTCATGCCAATCCCCTGACACTGAGAATGGCATTGTGATTGGCTTTCAATAGTATTTGCCCCCAGAGATGAGGTCATCTTCCGTGAAGGTCAGATATCTACAGAAATAATTGATGTTAGCAAGAAAGAAGCAGAGAATGGGTGTTGATAGACAATGTCTGCTCTAGGGATGGGTCATTCTGCCAACATTCAGCAAATCCTTTGTCTACTCTCAAAATGCCTGGTACCAGCTAATAGTTAATGTTTTCTGAGAGCATTACTTAGAGTTTACATATGTTCACTTATTTAACCCACAAATCAACCTTTAAAGGTAGGTTCTGATGTAGTGGGTTGATACAAAAGTCATTGCAGTTTTGCCATTTTAATGCAATTACTTTTGCACCAATCTAATATATCCCCATTTTATAAATGGGGAACATGAGGCACAGAGTGGTTATGTCTTACTCACAGTCATTTGCAAGGGAGTGATAGAGCCTAGATACAAATCATGTCAGTCTGCCTCTGAGCCTACATGTATAGCCACTATACTAAACTGCCGTTTTACCTTACAAAGCAGAACAAGACCAGGTTCTCACTTTCAAGGAGTCTACAGTCTAGTCTAGGAGCCAGCAAACTTTCTCTGTAAAGGTCTGGAGACTAAATGTTAGGTTTTGCAGCAGTGTGGTCTCCGTTGTAACTACTCAGTTTTTCCATTGTAGTATAAAAACAGTTGTAGACAAGTCATAAACAAGTGTGGCTGTGTTCCAGTAAAACTTGATTTACAAAAATAGGCAGCTGACCAGATTTGTCTCATGAGGCATAGTTTGTGGACCTGAGGTCTAGTGAGTTAGAATACTGCTTACCAAATTTTAATGTTTGTGTGATTCACGTAGGATCAGTTTAAAATGCAAATTTTGATTCAATAGGTCCGGAGTAAGGCCTAGTAAAAGTGTAAGTGCTATGCTCTAAAAATGTCAAGAGCATGATTATCACCCTCCTCTGGGAGCATTTGGAGATGCCTTGTTGCAGGAACCCATTCAGCCAAGCTGTCCTGGCAAACCATACCTCCCACAGCTCCCTCCACACCGGCTGTTTGTCCAATCTAACTTTGCACCGGAGCAAGATGTGTTTTCCCAGGATGAGGAGAGGAAGGTTAGCCCACGCTGCTGGATGTGGAAGGGAATGGGAACCAGGGAAAGAATGGTAACTGGGGAGGAAGGGAAACCATGATACTTTTGTAGTTGAAGGCCTAACTGGGCGCGCTTTGCCATAACTTGGCCCCTCTGCCTCCTTTCCACTGGGAGTGCCAGAAATCACAGGGCAGCAGTCGCTCACCTGCCTTTATAGACAAGAAAATGAAACCACGAAAGGGTGAATTTCAGCTAGCCTATTGCCATCACTCTTTTATGGTATAAAGGATGAGAGAGGCGGTGAGGGAGACATTGCCCCAAACATGATGTCCACATCCTGAGACTTGCCTGATATTTCATATTACACAAAGACAACATTGACTGGTTTAAGAGAAAAAAAAAAAAAAGGAAATCCAGAAGAATGTTTTAATTATCAAGCATGAAACAAGTGAAAATCATCAGAATCTTTTTCCTTCTGTGACTTGGTGGCAACAGTCTGTAAAGCCAAGGCCACCATGAAGTGGTAGGGGAAATTTGGGCACCCAGTCACCTTGGCAGACACACGATGCTATTTTCAGACTTGTGGAGCCTTTGCGCTGCCTCCCTGTCATCCTCACCTGTCTTCTCTGGTCTGAAAGTCCGTTTTAACTCTGCTTTGTTGGAGGCAGAAACAAGCATGTGACAGGCTGCAGAGAATTACTCCTGGCTCTGATGTCTCTTCACCAGCTTGACAAAACCTGGTTTCTCCACCTGTCTTTACTCTCTAAGCCTTACCTGCAAGCGCTTCCATGAAAGCCACCACCACACCATCTCTGGGATGCAGAAGGTTAGGAGGGAAGAATTAAAAAAACAAAACGAAGGTAACAGTATCAAGATCCAAACTTAGAAAACATTTCTTGAAGTGACATTATCTGCTCCTTTTAACCCCATCCCTTTGTCACCAGTGTTTGTTTAGGAAGTGTAAGCTAATTTTAATATTAAAATGTAGTGATTAAGAAGGTAAGTTGTGAATAATGTATGAGTCATCCACACTTTTGTCTTTTTTCCCACCTTATGTTCCATGCTGCACCCTGTTATAAGCAGAGTTGACTGTGATTACTTCCAGAAACTTTGATTAACCCATGAGAGTAAAGACCTAGCTCGATAAACACAGAAGTCCCTGATTGCAGACAAAAGGACTCAAATATCAACAAACACAATGATTTGTTTATACTGTGTTCAACTGGATGTGGTGACTTGTGAGCATAGGTAATCAGCCCTTTTGCCCGCACCCCTGGGTAAAGAATCATTCTACTCCTGAAACTATCAAAAAGATTAACCATGAATGTTGATATGAAATATCTGCTTTTCATGCCCTGACACTAAGGAGAATAGACCTTATTAAGGAAGGAAAAACACTTTTGGAGTGTACCTCCGTTACACATGCTGCTTGCATGGAATCCAAATTCAGTGAGCTGACGGCAGGCCAGTTCCTTGCCACTTTGTAAAGTTTACCCTCTGTTATCTATAAATGCAAGTGGCTTATTCAAGAATAGCAAGGGCAGCTCTCATTAAGGACTCGTGCATCTCCAGGAGAATCATATGGGCTTGGCTGGCAGTAGAATATTTTCTTGGGGACAGAATGTATTATAGATGATTTAGGCAGGAGGTTAGATGAGAAAGTTCCACAAAAATCTAGGGATTATTTATTCTGCCCAAACCACCATGTTCCTTCCTGCTTTCATTTTTTTTGTTCATGCCCTTCCTTCCACGTGGTAGATTACCTTCTCTCCTCCGGCTGGGCAGGTAGGCTGCCTCTGCCCATAAGGACCAATTCAAGTTCCCTTTTCAAGAAGCACTGTCTTATTGCACCAGCCAAAACTCTCCCCACTTTCTTTTTAGTTATTTATACTGCCTCTCTAGTCAATGTGCATGTATATGAAGTCCTCAGTAAGAGATTATAATTCTTCAAGGGCAACAAACATAACTTTTATCTTTTTTAGTCCTATTATGTCCTTATGCCCCCCAACTATATGTGTATACCTAGTGCATGATAGGTACAAAATAAATATTAAAGTTTACTTAATTAAAGATTGTTTATTTAAGAGGCAAAATTTGTGAATAAGTCTGGATCTTGATACTGTTCCTTTCATTTCGTTTATTCCTTTCTCCCGACCTTCCACATCCCAAAGATAGTATGCTGGTGACTTTTATGGAAATGCTTGCAGGTAAGGCTTGAAGTGTGAAGATACGTGGAGAAACCACTGTAAACCTCTTTGAGATTAACCACTTATTTCAGTGGAGGGCACTGGCTAATTTGTACCAGACCTGCCCCAGACCGTTTTGTACATCTTGCATGTGGGTGGGGACCCAAAAAGTTTCCTTTTCAGTGGATTTATTTGGATGAGACAAAGAAATCTGTTGCTCAAATGCTTTCATCAGAGGCTACCCCCTGTTCAGGTGTGTACCCTGCATCCATGTGGGTTTGCAGATAGCATATGACATTTGCAGCGCCAGAGCTCATTGCCACAGATCAAAGGGAAGTAAGCATGCATATGTGGATGCAGCGGGAATAGCTGCGGTCTTTCTGCTGAAGAGCAGGGTTATATACCTCCTATTAGAAATCTAGAGAGGACTGAGGCAAGAGCTTGTATTGAAACAAGCAAACTCCACGTACGGTTTTGGACATGGAAGAAGGAGTACTGTTGGGGTGGAATGAGCTCAGTTTTTAATAAGATTAGGATTTCTGTGGATTTTTCCCAAGTGATAGAAATTTTCTTCATCTAGCAGGCAGCCTCACCCAATTACATCTCTATGTTCATTTCTGAAACTCCTTTGTTAAAAACAAAACTAAATAGCAACAGAGAAGAAACTTTCTTCAAAAAACTCTTATATCTGTCATTTCTCCTGTTCTCACGGAACTTCAAAATTGCTTTTTCTTTATTCCTTTTTTTTTTTTTTTCTATATCAGCTCATCAGTCTTTGTAGGTGACTTGGCTACCCCACTAATCTGATTGTCTTTTTGATAGTTAAATCAATATGGACACCAACTTAAGGCCATATGTGAACCTTAAATGCATGATATTCCCTGTACTTGATTTCACAATTGATATTGTGTGAGGGAAGTTGGCCAAATATTCTCTTCTGTGAAGTCAGAATAACCACCGACCCTAAGAATCAACATTTTGACCAATTCTTTATATGTTGCAAACTATTCACACAACTAGAAAGTTTAGCCGTTCACATCTCTTCCCCTGGTTTTAAGTCCCAGCTTCTGAGACTCAGAAAGTTTAGTCACTTGAACTTTCTGTGGAAAATCTGTTGTAAAAACAGTTCAGACATTGGAAAATATAAAATAGCCCCCAGAGATCCTGATAAAGCTTCCTCTCCCCAAATCCCTCTACAGGTTTATCCATGAGAAACTTTCTGAAAACTGATGAGAAAATACTGAGTAATTAATGCTGAAATGGGAAAGATGGTAAGTAAAAGCAAAAACCTGTTGATGGCATCTGTTCACATAGTTCCATGTGCCTTTTTACTCACCTGCACTGATATGCAATGTAATGAAGTTTCCTTTTCAAACATAAAATGTAATTAAACAAAGCTTATCTTAAATTGGCTGGACCCACACAACTTGATTGAGACGTAAACAGCTGTCTTCATTTTGAAGCACCTACACTAGTCAAGCTTCTTTCTAACCTGCCCTTAGCGTTTGCCTGTTGGTCTGTCTTCCCTACTGGACTGTTAATCCCTTGGAGGCAGATTGTCTTGTTTCCCAGAGTTTTTCCAGCATATACCATGGCAGACAATTTTCTCCTTATCTATTCTATCTCGTAAGCCTCATCTAGTGCCTCCATCCTCGGGTGCATAGCCTAGTGACAGGCATGTAACAGATTTTGCCTGCAAGCGGTTGCTGAGCCATAAATGAAGTTGGCAACCTTCTTGTGGCAGTGAGTAACATATTTCTTTCCTCCCAATAGGCTTGGAATCCTCATCCCCATCTGGCAATTTTCTATCTTTTCTACACTCACAGTGGAGCCCACACCCCTCACAACCCCCTTGACTAAACCAGATGACAGCAAGAATGCCTAGTTCCAAGTGAACAAGGGTGAAGCCTTAGGCTCTTGTCTCCTCTAGACCTCCTCTCTGCTGTGAAAATATACTGGGGGTGGGGGGTGGGGGAGTACTTAACCTCAAACTGAGAAAAAGGATGTCCTGAGCAAGTTTCATAGCATAGCAGCTCCCATCTGAAATGTGAAGCTTTGAAGGCCTGTTGCTACAGTAACCAGCTAGCTCCTGACTCCAATGCCTGTCTAATCTAAGGTGGAAATGTCCCAGAAACAGACCCCAGGCTGGCAGCTCTTAACTATGACCCATCTCATAAGCACATATCCAGCTGTAGCCTCTTGGTTGCCAGGGTGAAGGGGCCTCTGTATCGCCACAGGGAAAAAATCTGATGAATTCTGGGCTCAGAAAGGGTGTTGCTTTTTTTTCCACTAACAGACTCTGCAACCCAGTCCCTGGTGAAAGGGCTCCACACACCCCCGTTTTGTGTGTATAATGCTGAGCTAAAGTGGGAAGGAGCAGTAACACCAAAGGAGGCTAATTCTCTTCCTGTCAGTAGGAGAGTCTGTGCCCCCAGTACGTGAAAAGGGAAAAATCAGCCTTCTGGAAGCACCTTCTTACCACAAGAAAACAGGTGATTCAGAGTATCTTCGAGACTCAGCCAGATTGTGTCTAACTCTTCAGGCAATAGGAGCCATTTCAGAGAAGGGATTTTTTTTTTTTTAATCATTTCGTTCTTTGGAATTGTCACAGGATTATGATGTGGATTCTCATAAAAATTTCCCTCACCCGAAACCCACCCAAAAGAAAGGCAGTGAAATGGGGAGGAACACACATTTGCCTGGCCTCAGAAGAACTGCCTTGTAGTCATGGGTTCTAGTGATCTCGGACCAATCTCTTCCCTTCCCTGGACCTCAGTTTCTTCCATACAAAGAAGTTGAAGTGGATCATAGAAAAGTCGCTGTCCAGCTTGGTAATATCAGATAGGGAGCGGAAGCTGTCTGTTAGTGCATGGCCAGATTCCGGAACAACGATGATGATCTCCATGTTTCTCCTAAAAATGAATCTCATCTCAGTAGAGATTTCTTCCACCTCATTTGGGTCTCAATTTAAGGAAGGAAGAAAGGAAAGAAACCTTGGGATTCTCCTCTTGAAAGGAATATACTTGACTTTCTCTAGGCTTCTAGGATAAAACTTCCTATCCTTCATTTTTCCTCTTTAAACCTGCCAAAATCAAGTTGACTAAAGATACTATAGAGATATGTAAAAGAAGCTGCATCCTTAAATTTTCATGGAGTCCAAGAGCCTGCTCACCGTCAGTTAGCCTTTCCCAGGATGGTGGTGGCACTGATCATCCAAGTCACACTTTTATGTTCATGCCCCACAGTGTTTCCCATCAGCCATCTCATTTCATCTTTTCATCATTGCTCTGAGGAACAGATTTCACACATGTAGAGGACTTTTTATATCACAAAGTATTTCATCTCCAATGTCTTATTTAGATCTTGACAATCACTGTTTAAGGTAATTTGGCAAGTTATTAATACTCATGTCCTCATTTTGCTGAAGAGGAAACCGAAATGCAGAGAGTTTGTCTTCTGCCCAAGATCTCTCGCCCAGTTTATTGGGAGGCAGCAGCACAGGGATTAAGAACATGGGCTATGCTGACAACCAACCAGGTAGAATCCCAGCTCTGCCAGTAGTTAGCTCTGTGTCCTTAGGAAAGTAATTTCACACTTCTGTGGTTTAGTTTTTCTTGTCCATTAAATGCTTATAAGAATAGTGCTCTCCTCACAGAGATTGGGTGGGCAAGGGAGCTAAATGAGCTAATATATTTAAGAACAACCTCTAGCACACAGTGCATAATAAATGTCATTATTATTAGCAAAGCCAGGACCTGGGTCTTCCAGCTTCTAGCTCAGTGGCATTTCTGCTGCCCTACACCAGGACTATCCTTTGTATACAGGTGTGAACCTAAAGTCTTCAGTGTTTCAATGAAAAGTTCACCCAAGGTCTTTCTGTTCAGTAAGTCTAGAGCTAAGGGCTCCTGGCCCTCTGTTCAGTCCTTTTGCTGTTAAACCACACTGCCCTCCGTTGCTCTGGGCAGAATGTCAAACCTTACGTTTTTAAAATTTATAAACCAAGCACTCTTATTTGATATTACTGACAGCCCAAAGGCAGATGCTCCCACTCTTCTGGGGAAGGGGGTCTTCTAATCTGCCATCTTAAGGAGAGAAAACGGCTTGATTGGGTAACTCACTGCAGTGGGCACATATTTATTACTGTCTCCCGGCCTTTTCTCCTGCTGTTTGTCCGCTGGAATTACCACTAGTGCCAGGCCATTTGAATATTTGACCATTTGTCTTAGAGTTCTCTGAGTACAAATCTTGTTTTCCATACCTTTATTAGGTACTTCTTAAGAATGAAGACTGTTGCATGTTGGTTTGTACTCTCTCCTGCACATCAAAAATGCTTTCGTAAATAGATACACAAATGTTTCTTGATTCATAAATTGATTGACTGTTTGATGCACTAATGGTCACCTCTAAGTGGTTAACAGTTGTCTCCTCCCATCTCATAGTTGCAAGTTTCAGATGATCAAAGAATGCCTAGGTGGCATTCAACAGTACAGTGCCTCAGTAAAGGTAGAAGTTTTAGGAGCTGTATGTGCAAGAGTGGAAGAAGTTCTCTCTGCACCCACAGGAGGTCATTTGCTACAAAGCCTCAGAACCTGGCCTCTGCCTTGTCAACCTGCATGCTGTGTGCATGGAAAAACAGGCCTGAGCCAGGGCTCACCCTGTCACCCAAAGTCCACTCCACGTAGTGTGCCTGAACCAAACATGACCTTGTTCTACAGTTCAAAACAAGTGAAAGTCACCTGCTGGGGTCACTTGGTAATAACGTCCTGTGACAGAAGGGGCTCTGCTTAAAGGGCAGCTCAAATCCAGGCATTAAAATAACCTAAATGGCGTCGTTTTCTGATCAAATTCCTTTCCCTGTCGGGCTTGTGATTTTTGAGCCTGAGAATGTCCCTCGCAGCTCAGGTTTCTCTGTTGTCACCCTGGTCTCAGGCCTGGAACGCAGGCTCTGGCCATTGAGGTCCGATGTAACTATGTCACAATCCCAAAATGGAGAGACATGATCTCATAGATGGTGCAGCAGTCGGGCACCAGTGTGTGGCTGGCAGGCACAGCTCAGAATGCAGCCCTGGGCATATTCCACATCCACAGTTCTCAGTGGACACAGGGTCTGATGCCCCAGGCTCCAAGCTGTGCTCCAGTAAGTTAGGGTCTTGCACATCTTCATGCTCAGGAGTAGGGACAGGAAGACAGAGGCTGGGATGGAGATGGGCTCACTTCTGGGCCAGTCCGGTTGGTTTTCAGAAAGGTGATTCCAGGTCACAAGGCCCTTGAGCACCTGGAGGGTTTAGGCAGAGTGCAGAGAGCAGCCATTTACATGAGAAGGCCCCACCCTGGAGGCAGCGCTGGAAGCCATCCTTCCTTAACTGGGCCTCTGGGACAGGTGGGGCCTAGTGGCCTGTGAGGTAAACAGCCCTTTCAGCACTTAGAGAATGAGACCTCAAGGGGAAACCATTAACCCTTTCCTAGAGTAATAGCATCAAAGTCCTAACCATGTTGATCATGAAATCTCATTTGAATTCAGAGGAGCACCTTCTTATCCAGCCTTGAGGAATCAGGCCACTTCCTTCTTGATTAGCCTCTTCACACCCCTTATTTCCCATGGCTCTTTTGTGAGATGCTTTTGTTCCAACCAAGCCATTGCCAGTTAGGCCATGCCCACCCCTGCCGACTCCCTCTGCTTGCTCTTTCCTTGCCTAAACAGTCTGCCTCTCTCATTTTGCCTCGTCCTTTGCTCAAGGTCCACATTAAACTCCCCCTGCTCACCCAGGCATCTCTGAGTGCCTGAGTCCCCATTTCTGGAGCTCCTTCAGAACCAGTGTCTGTGCCATGCATTGGATTCTTGGCACACACCTCCTTCTACCATCAGTACCTTCTCTTGTGTAGATGAGTGCGTGTCCCTTAGGAGTGTCCTCTAGCACAGACTGTGTTTTATCTTTGGGTACTCCCAGAGCCTAGCAATGAGCCTTGCACACAACACTGACTCTTGAGAATGCTCTTAAACTCTGAAGGCATCTTAGAATCAAAACCTAAGACCACATCCAGGAACACAGCCTCGTTCCCCCGTCTCCCAGTGTCCTTACACACCAAGCACACGCCTGAATGTGAAGCCTTCTCATTTGTTCTTTCCTCTACCTGGCATGGTTCACTCCCCTACTCCAGTGTCACTGCACAAATGCCACTTTCTCAGGCTTTCCTGACCACCCTGTCTAAAAAATAGCATTCCTTATCCTGTAATGCCTATCCTGCTGATTTTTCTTCATGGCACTTACTA